CGACAGTATTTAAAGAAAATGAAGAAAGGAATCACTCTGCTTTAACATCGGTTATAAAAAACTGTTATATTATGTGGAAAACGAGGTGTTGTTTTGTGTGGCAAGATGAACTGAACAAGCAATTTTACAACGTGCTAAAACTGTCGATATTAAGGTATCGCTTATAGACAGCTCAACCAAAGGACAAATATGCTAGGCAACAGAATGAGCATGATATTCTGAACATTTATAGAAATGTAAAGATATTTCCAGTACTAGCAGGCGAACCTGTTGATATTGTAACACTGATCATTTTGCAGTGTGCCTCACATATGTAAAGAATAAGACTGAAAGCTCAGTATCTTTAATCTCACAGACTGTAATTGTCATAAAGAAAGTGTGTAGTCAGATATAAAGAAAGTTTTTGTACAGAAAACAATAATACTAAACTTAAGCTGTGAAGAAATACCGCAAAATTGGAATGAGTTATGTGCGCACGTGTTTGCGAGGCTATATATATGAATGAACATTACGTGCTTTATTCTAATCTGTACAGGATATACACCACCAGCTGCAAGATCGTTTAGTTATCTTACGTGTGGAATAAAATGAAGAGATGAACGTTTTTCATAAACGCACATCAGGAAAAGGAGATCAATAGAATTAGGGTCTTGTGAGAATACGCTGTGAATTGACACAGACATAAATGCGTTGGCTTTGTGTGTGTGTGTGTGTGATTTCTTATAGCAAAGCTACATCGGGCTATATGCTGTGTCTACCGAGGGAAATCGAACCCGTAATTTTAGCGTTGTAAATCCGAAGACTTACCGTTGTCCTACCAGGTGACAGTGTAGTTGAAAGTCAGAAACAAGTACGTTATATATATATATAGTTGGAAGACTCTCAGTACTCAAGATAAAACGTTGAAAAAATTTAAAATAAAATCCGAACAAAAGAAAGAAAGAAAAGAAAAAATATCGTAGAGACATCTATAGGAAGTTCTATTAATATTTCCTATCACCATTTAATTTTTTCCATGGAAGGAACACAAAAAATTCAATAGTTCGATTTCTTCAATCATGCTCGTCAACTTGAATGCCCCTCCCCGATATGCACATTTTTATGAATTCAACCAACAATAGGCCCGGTTTGGCCAGGTGGTTAGGGCGCTCGACTCGCAATCTGAGGGTTCCAATCCCCGTCACACCAAACATGCTCGCCCCTTTCAGCCGTGGGGGCGTTATAACGTGACGGTCAATCCCACTCTTCGTTGGTAAAAGAGTAGCCCAAGAGTTGGCGGTGATGACTAGCTGCCTTCCCTCTAGTGTTAGACTGCTAAATTAGGGACGGCTAGCGCAGATAGCCCTCGTGTAGCTTTGCGCGAAATTCAAAACAAACCAAACCAATTAACCAACCAGCAATCTTGCACGTGGTGTAAACAGTTTAAACTAGTTCGATACAATCTTTTCGTCTAGCAGAGTACGCAGCAGCGATGAGTAATAATGATGACATTTGCTGGTGCAGTAGACTTAAAGGGGTCTTTAACCACTGTTGTTAACTATTTAAAATTCCCCCCAAGATGCTGCGAGGGGGGGGGGCATTGGACTGGGTTCAATCTGTGAAATAGGTAACTATTTGCGCTCTTGATACTAACTTCTAAATAAACTAAATGTCAAAATTTCAATTTTTAGGTTTACAAAATAAATTTACTTACATGCTTGTATGATAAGCTTGTGTTACAGCTATCATGTGAACGTTTTTTCGGTTTCTTATTTATAAAAAATAAAAGGTTGACATTGAGAACTTGTATGTCTTTTAACTAAGTTCTACGAACACGAAATATGCTGGTGTTTGTCAGAAAACCAGATTTAATCGTATTGTATTTGTTCATCACAGAACTTAAATGTTCAAAGTACAATAGATGTATTCATACGCCCCCCCCAAAAAAAGTACGGATATGACATCACTGACGACCTTACTCGCTTGAGCCTGATTGCTATAGCGGTTTTCTTTTGTTGTCCAATTCATTATAAGGAAGTTGTTCAAAGTACAATAGATGTATTTTTACGCCTAAAAAAACGTACGGATATGACATCACTGACGACCTTACTCGCTTGAGCCTGATTGCTATAGCGGTTTTCTTTTGTTGTCTAATTCATTATAAGGAAGTTGTTTTCGGGATTCCTTCGACAGTTTTGTTGACAGATGAGTGCGAAAGATACGTGACACATTTACCAAAAAAAAAAAAAATTAAAATCACACAAGAAGTACATTTTTGTTTAAGCTTGATTTTCGATGACATTTAATAAATTGTCATTGGAAGTGAAACTAGTTAATTTAATAAAATCAGCTGATTAACTTAAAGCAACCAAAACGATCAGTAAACGTTATAACAGCCGGCTAGATGAGTCCTGGTGGTGGGCGAAAGGCCTCGTCAGCACTGGATTGGCAGATATAGCGTGATTGACATATTGTTATACATTCTTATTTAGTTTTCCTCTGAAATTCGTAGAATACACTAAAGTGCTACATTTAGTACAGTTTGAAAGTTTACTTACGAAATGCTAAATTTAATGCTCGTATTTACATTAACCGTATCATAATTTATAAGAAACTTTTAAAGTGGTTTATATGATGTTTGAAATAAACGTATCTAATTTTGTTCGAGGTATATAACAAATAGTTAAGAAACGTACAGAAAGTACATCAGGATTAAACTTCTAGACTTTGTTCAAAAACAACGATACACGTATATAATTTTGTTCGAGATATTTAAAGAGTTAAGAAACGTACAGAAAGTACATCCGAATTAAACTTCTACGCTTTGTTAAAAAAACAACAAAAGCTGACAAGAAGTAACGAAGTACAACACTATAATGCTTGTGATTTAGATATTGTGCTCTTTAGAAGGCCTGGTGGTTAGGGGCGCTTGACTCGCAATCCGCGGGTTCGAATCCCCATCACCAAACATGCTCATCCTTTCATCCATGAGGGCGTTATAATGTGACGATAAATTCCACTATTCGTTGATAAAAGAGTAATACGAGAGTTGGCGGTGGGTAGTGTTGACTAGCTGTATCACTAGTGTATCACTACTAAATTAGGAACGGCTAGCGTAGATAGCCCTCGTGTAGCTTCGCGCAAAATTCAAAACCAAACTCTCTGTATTTCATTTGTGTGTGTGGTCTGTTAAAGATGACCAAACATTGTGGCATAAAAACGTAAAAATGAGTAGTTGTCTTGTAGTTTTATGACCGATATGTTTATGGTTTATCGACAGGAAATATTACGTATATGATGTTGAAAATTTAAACAGATTTTATAAGTGTTTTTAAGAGTTATAATTACTCTTAAATTTATATTTGTGTGTTTTGTTTGAGTGAAATTATCATCGGCGAAACTGATCCAACATTCGCTTCCTCTTTGTCACTTCCTTTATTGTTGAACACACGAACCAGATAAAATAAACATGAATACGTTGGAGTCGTGTACCATCTATACAGCTATACATGATTCACTTACTGTACATTAAGCCCACAAGGAAGGTTTTAGAAATATTTATCGAATCGGAATTAAATTAATTGAATACTTTTTATGATATAGAACCTCCAGCCATTTTTTTTCTTCTTTTTATATAGTCTGAAGTGTAGCACAGTCAGTTTAAGGAGTAATATGGAAATTGTTTGTATAGAAAATATATATATACAGAGTAATAACTGACCATCACAATTGTAGGTGACTTGAATACCAGATCATTGCATCTTGAATAGTACAGCCTATATATTTTGGAAAACTGGAATGATCAGGTTTATTTACTTAATTTTTCCTTAATACCTCAGGAGTTGGTTTGAACCACGTTTTCTTTCTTCGGACTTACAGATGTTTTGTCTATTATTGGAGAGCTTATATTACTGTTTTTCGGTGTTGGTTCCATCGTTATTCCAGTCAAAGGCTCCATTATTCCTCTGCAATCTTTGATCGTGCAGAGTTCGACTTTTGATGGAGTATTCCATTCGTAACGAATGTTGTGTTCCACAAAATCCGCCCCTGCGAGCTCATCCTCAAGGGACATACGAATGGGAATCAGCTTGTTAATGGTCTAAAAAAATAAAATAGTCACGTTACACTACTTTATAACTGATTTAACTTAAAAACAGCAATATATAACAAACACAAGGGATATTTATCTTCATTCTGTTCCAAGAAAACTCGTATTCAAGAGAATCTATTATATGATAATGCTGCAGCAAGGCTTTTTATTCTATAGTGTCTATTTTGACATTTTCTGCTTATAAACAAACTAAATTAACTTGCAAATAAAATAAAACATATAAGAGCGTGTTTTTTTTTTAACACTACCGACTGTTTAACAATGGAACAAACTCCTAAAAACACTGAAACGCAAGAACAAAACTAAGCTTTTTAAAGGGCATTAAAATAGTAAACTAAGAAAATATGTAATGAACAATACATATTTATTTTATGCGTGTACATTTTGTAACGAAGACGTAAGCTGTATGTAACAAAATAACGCTTTTTGGAAAATAATTTATTTCTTAAATTACGTAATCCCAGGTTACATATAGAACATTTTGTTATCCTTTCTCTCCCACCTCGGTGGCTCAGTGGTAAGCCTGAGGGCTTATAACGCTAAATATCGAATTTCGATACCTGCGATGGACAGATGTCTCATTGTATAGCTGTACTTGACAAACATTTAATTCTCTCGTTGCCAGGCGCTATCAGTCCCTCTTGTGTGCGAATTTGTGCAGGTCACTTTCTGGATTGTCCTGTTTCCCAGGTTGATCCATATTCCTTTGTTTTCCAACGTTTTGAAGTACAAGGAATATTCCCATCTTGTAAGTCCTAAATCTTCGATCTGAACCCATCTTTATGATTCCAGTGTATGATTGTTTTGCGTCGAAAAAAGCTGTTACAAACCCTTTCCCAAAACGACCAATTTTCGGTGGCAAACCTACGAAACGGTAAATAATGTGAAATGCAGTTCTGATAATGCCTCTGTTACATACCCTTCCCCAAAACGACCAATTTTCGGTGGCAAACCTACGAAACGGTAAATAATGTGAAATGCAGTTCTGATAATGCCTTCTTTATATCGGCTGTCATTTTCACGTGACTTGCTTATTTGCATATTCAAAATTATTTTAATATAACGTAGCCAATCCTCTGCACTTTTATTTCTAAGAGAGAAAGAACATTTTTCTGCTTTATCATAGTATACAAATCAGTATCAATCGGTATTTTATTTAGAATGGCAAACAAGTGACTTTTATACTGGAATCAGATAACTTTGAAGTATTCTGAATAAAAACACGTTTTAAACCAAACTAAAGCTTCTGTTTAGAATATTGGGCATAAAGATATGATAGAATTACATAGGATGGAAGAGGGTTGACTCCATTACAATATACACGTAACTGTAGTCAAAAGTACAATTCAATTAAGAAAATTAGTAATTTTATCATAATGGAGACTATGGGAATTAAAGAAAAGGCCGATTTTCATGTAGTGTATAAAACGTATGTTTTGAGAAATTCGATGAAAATAAGAGAAATGTATGGGTGTTTTAACAGTTAAAATGTTTGGTCGAAATGTAGGCCTATCCCACTTGGAATAGGTGGTCACTATCTAAAAAAGTAGCTAAATAAAATTGAGTGTTTAGTCAGAATGGTCATCTCCAAATTTCTAAGGAGTCAGTAACTATTATTCTTAAGATTTGCGTATGCCCTATAGCTACCTACTAAGAACATTTATATAAAAAATAACCGTTTGTGGAAACAATGAAATTGAAGTAAGTTTCTCAAAACGTGTATCAAACACTTCATTCTCGAAAGGCTAATTACATTAGGTGCATTTAGGAAAAACGTTTTGTGTAAATAGTATAACTTGACCCACATTTTAAATTATCTTATTTGACTTGCAAAGGTTATGCGTTGTGGAACTATGACATCAGCGTCTCTGGTGACATCATCGAATGACACCAGCGCCTTCTGGTGACAATTTGTGGAACTATCATTTCACCATCTCTAGTAACATCGTAGTTTCCTCCATTGTCCGAGGTTGGTCCACTTGTGGCGCCCTCTGCTGGTGTGGCTAGCAACAATTCCCCTAACTAATATACCATATAGCTAGTTTATGCATTATTGTTGCACAGTTTGAAGAAATATTGAAGCCATAGGAATGGTTACCTCAATACACTTAATATTCAAATTGGTATAATGGAAATCATTTGGGGATGTGCCGTTTTTTATTCGGAATGTCTACATGTTTATTCCAATGTCACTACGTATTTAACTTGATAAGTTTATTTAGTTGAGTTAAAAACTGCAGGGGTTGTTGGTTACATAAAAATAGTGATATAAGATTGTTGATAAATTTCAAATTTATAAACAAATATATGGATCATTCTGTTCCGGGTTATTTACACATTTAGTACATATCCATCTACAGTGTTAGTAAATATTGATTGAAACTTTGTGAAAATTGCATACAGGCGCTATTACAGCGCAAAAGAACAACACTGGAATGTATGAAGTCCACTCAACACTGGTGAGAATCGTTTTTACAATTTTCTGATTCTTAAACACTAATCTCTTGTAAGATCGCTCATTCTTCACAGCCCCCCAGTGGCACAGCGGTATGTCTGCGGACTTACAGCGCTAGAAACCGGATTTCGATACCCGTGGTGGGCAGAGCAGAGATAGCCCATTGTGTAGCTTTGATTATAAACAAGATTACGACACTTATAATATACAACATTGTTTATTGACAAAAAGGGGACATGGATAAACGGTTTCGGAATTCTA